CACCTCCCTCGTGTGTCCATAGAAAGCCTGAGAAGGGGGTCGGGCCAGCACCCACCGCAGTTGCCCCCACAGGTACCTTGAACTATGGTCATACCCTGAAATAGAAAGGTAGTTCTCGTTTAGGCATCAATTCGCCGTAGTGCATGATTGTTTAATGAAGACTGTTGTTCAAGATAGAATGCTCTAAGAGTGCTTCTGCAGTAAGGAACCTTTTCTTATTTAAACCAGACTACGTTTATACATAAAAGCGTAAGAACAATTCCCAATAAAGATCACAGTTACATGAAGAATGGAGCTTCCCTAATCTATTTTGACTGATCTATACACTTGAGCATGGAGAGGCTTAGTTGAAGTGATGACAGAAATATTGATTTTTGAGAGTAAATTTAATACCAGGACATAGGGGGGGGGAACTGAAAGATGTTTTAGTGTAAATTGGTTGGTGACGCGTTTGAGGAAACCTGCCTGACCTGAGTGATTTTAGACTCTAAATTATTTTGCATCTTTGCAGTACTCAAACTTTGTCCTAAACCATTCTACATTTCTGAGTAAATTCATTATAACTAAAATTATAATGTTACCCCTAATAAGCTTCTATGTGAACTGCCTTTTCCATATTCAACATATGAATTACTGACTACCTCGCCTGCAAAGTGAACCGAAAGAGCCATTAAATGGAAATTCAAGAGGTATAATAGCTACCAGGCGAGTTCGAATAGCTCGAATGTAGTACCATCCGTCGTGGTCGGTCAGTAGATCTTGACTGCGTCAGATTTGGTAAAACTATTGATCAGAGAGCGATTTGGCATCCACATAGTGAAGTTGACTGCGGATTGTATCCTCTAGGTCTCTGATCGGTGTCTGTTAATCTCATTTGTCAGTTAGGGTGTAGGTTATTGTGGTCAAACCAAAATTTTTTTTCCTGATCTTAGGCAGTTAATTTGACTATTTTAATTCCGCCAGACGAGATAATCAGTATATTGTACAAGCAGCTTGTGAAAAGTATGAACTATTGTAGGTATTGAAAAACTATAGGGAACGGCATATTTTCCCTCATTTTCAGGTATCAATCTGCCAATTTTATATGAATTTATGAAAAATATTTGGTTAAATTTTGGACTCCAAGATTCTTCTTCGGTCCACTTATTAATATCTGAAGATAATTAGGGTTAAATATGCCAAAAATCACGCAGGAAAGGTGTAACACTCACATTTTTGAATGTGCAGAGGCAGAAGAAATTGGCAAAACATGTGTCTGTGCTTTTAGTTGGTGCCTATATTGGCTGTGCAATGGATAAGTGGATACTAGATAAGTTATCAGCGAAGGGCCCGTATACGTCCTATCGAGGCAGACATCCATATGGTGGAAAATTATGTAGTCACTGAATTTACTGGATGCAAGTATCACATTTGTTACAGGTTTATCGTATCTCACCCTAATAACGAACAAGCAATCGTCCAAAATGGATATCAAAATTTAGGGAAAACGAAATTACATTTCCGCCCTTTTGGCCCTCGTCAGGCAGCCCGAGCCCGATCCCGAACCTGGACAATACGGTATTTGAACTTAAGATCTGTAGTCATTTAGGCTTTTATACAGGGTTCTACCAATGAGCCGCGGGCTTGCTAATCCAATGGAGGTGCCAATTTATATCCATGTGGTACTCCAACAAACTTATGGCTGGTCTGATTTATGTCGATAGAGCTCTTCCAACTTACGGTATATCTGTGGATGCTGGAAAGAACCATTGACTGTGAAGATCTCCATTGGGTTTCCTTGGAAACTGAGAAACCCGTTCCCGCAAGATTGATGACGAACTGGCCCTAAAAAAGTACACAATCCCAGCATAATTAGGAGCATCTCACTATAAAAGTTCTCTGATCTGAAGATCCACATGAGCTGACTGAAGGCAGTTCCGTTTGCGATCGTTCGGTATGCAGAAAATGGGTCTCACGCGCATGATCAACATTATATATCGTTAATAACGAAAATCACACCCTTTGATGTTGAGTAAAACGTATCAGGTTTTGCCGATCGATAAGAAAAAGAAAGTTAGAAATACCATTATCTTCATCCTGTTTTAAAAGTGTTTAAAGTTTCGTCCTTTTGCAAAGTCAAATCAAATGTTAGTCATTCGTCGTTTATGAGACAAGATCTGGTCTAGCAAGTTGAATTTTAAAATGTCGATTACTTGAAGTACTGGAGTGATTGAGTTAAGTATTTTTCTTGCTAACTGTACCTACTGTTTTTAGAGGTAATAGATACCTTCATTTCAATGCGCCATCATCAAAACTATAAATGCATGAAGGTGAGATTTTCTAGACGATAATCAGAAAAATTCAACCTTATCACCGGAACGGACTTGTATTGTCGCCGACGTTTCAAGGAGCCTGGTCGTCTAATAATATTTGACAGTCTGTGGCTCCAAAATCCCCTGCATACACTCTTCGATGTTCGGTAAACGATGTCAATAGTCACTAAGAAACACTAAACGTCTAAGTGAACACAGAGGTAGAGTTTGAACTTTGAGAGAATTGAGAAACAAATGAGGTCTTAGAAACGAAAGGATACGCTCGCATCCTTCCGAGAGTCAAAATTCTGCGATTTGTTGTGATTCATTGCTTTATTTTTAGTTACAAGTAAGACGGGCGGACCTCAACCACAGCTTACCCTGCGTACGCCCTCCTCCTTTCTCCTCAGTCCAAACCCCAAAGTCTTGAACACACTGACTCCATCATGCAGACAGCGTGGAAACCAATAGGTGACCAGAAACTCCCACACTTCATCCGGAGAAACATATACCCGCTGTTAATAATTGTCTCTTTCATTCTCAATTTAAATCTATCGACCTGACGATGTATGACCGGAAACAATTGTTTGTAAAACTTAATTTTCAAAAGTAACATGGACATTTTTGCAGAACTGAGACATTAGAAACGATTCCCTACTGAAACCTTTAGCCGAAGCTATCATTTTTAAAGGGGGCCGATTTGGGTGTTTTCGCATTGTACAAAGTAACTTAAACATCCATTCATTTCTCCGTTTACTTAGGGTTGAAAGGATAGCAAACTACTCTAAAGGCCTGCGAAAAAGGTTCTAGCAGCCGGCGAGGCAGAGGCTATTTGGTTAGCTAATTCAGCGCTTTGTTGTCTGAAACGTTTTTATAGGCATTCTGCCTTGCCTAGCTGACTCCAGGTGATGATCGCAGGCCGTCCCAACCAACCCCCCCCTCCAACGCCCGCTAACAGCCAGAGGCACACCGCGTGTTTGACAGCGTTAAAATCTTACTGCTAAACTCTCCTTCCCCAGTTTCAACGTTCTCAAAACGTCGACTGCATCAAGCCGACGGCGTGGGAATGAAGAATGTGACTTAGCCTCCCTCTCCTCTCACCCAATCCCAGAGACCTCTTTAATCTTGCCTATATGTAGTTTGCAAATTCATTTTCCATGCAGTTGTAATGGACTGATGATGAATTACGGAAACATATGCTTGTCAACTGACTTTTCAAGGGTAACATGGGAATATTAGCAGAAGGTACAAGGAGTATCCTATGGTCTCTTGGAGACACATACCCTTCCGCACGCAAGAGATGAGCAGGATTTCGCGGTGCCGTAGGGAACAGTCCTTTTGCCTCTCGTCTCGGCGAATCTTGTATCAAATACTAGAAGGTGGAATGTAAAATGCATCTCATTTACCAGGTTTAACGAAACAAACAAAATTTCCAAGAAGACTTAAATATATGAACCAGAATTTTAAAAAACGTTAGTTGTAATGCGTAGGCTTCTGAAATCCTTTGGCATAAATGAATCCTCTTGGCAGCGTAAATAATGTGGGCAACTGTTTACTAGCCACAAAGTAAGCATTATAAAGCTATTTATTATACCACTTTTGCAAGTATACAAGGCTATTGAGAGCCTTCGGTAATTCGGTGGGATCATAAAAATTAACCGAGTGGCTGCTGGTTTTCTCGGACAGTCGGACCTACGGTCCATTTGTAAGAATTTCAGTGAATACAAAATAAAATGGCTATTTCGAGGATAGATGGTGGCTACTATTTTGCTAAACTGCACGATCCGCAATCTACCTTCATCAACTACCTCAAAAGGTCTTACTATTTGGCCCGGAAACACTGATTGTTGGCATTGTCATTAAAAGGCTTTCGAGCCTAGGTGGCAATGTGGCTGGATGATTATATGATATTTCCTACTAAATACCGAGTATCTCACCTTCTGAAGCTGGATTGTGGATGTGAATACATCCCGCTAACATGTTTAGTTGGCAAAGATGAATAAATTGACCGATCAATTAAGAACTTAAAGTACCTCGAATTCACGTTTTTTTTACCTTAATGCTAGTAGAAATAACACAGCGTTTGCTACTAGACTGCACATGGTGGTTTCGGAAGATGAAGAATTAAAAGTACTCTTAGAAATATTTGATATTTAGTTGAGAGATATTTTATCGAGCATACTTTCGACATTTAAAATAGTCTGCAATTCCATCAATTAGGACGTGCCTGGAAACGGTGTGGTCTATGTGAGGAAAATGCTCAACCGAAAATGCCTTGTTGAGATAGGTTTTGCCGATCACAGGACCTGTGCTGTGTTAAAGAAACCATTTCAATTGTATTCAGTAGAGGCTCACCAATTTAGCTATCAAAGAGTGCACTTCTTCCGTAGGGTTGAACATGCATTGCTCTTCCAAACAAATCCAGCTTCATCCAAGTTAGTGGAAGCCGTTTAAATGGTTGATCTTGAACCTAAATGCTTCCAGCAATTTGCACAAGGAAACCACATAGATCATCTTGCACACCTCGCATAGATGACTACTTCTCACGAATAGAGGTGAATGTTCGCATCTCAGGTGTGTTTATAAATAGAGAAGAAGCAGACACGTCAACCTCCGGAATCAATACTCCAGTCGTCGACGTGTTTTCCTTCATTTATTCTCTATCTACGACTACTTATGTCGATCCTTTTTTGCTTGTTTGCGTTTTGTTTACATCTTAATTTCAGATGGGGACATTTTAGCCCCAATGATAACTTCTACGTAATTTTGAATGAACTTTCCATACTTACTGTCAACCTCCAGTGACTGCAGGTAAATACGTATCATTCTGTACATTGTAACACTGTTCTCAGGATTGCGTGTCGCGTCTGCCCTGAATAAGTCTTCCATGAACTGATCGAGCTCGTCCTCCAAATCCCGCGTTATCTCTTTTGGAAAGTACACGTCTGTGTTATTGTAATCTTTACCCTCCTGCCGGTTCGTCTGCTGAGTAGTTAGGTTCCCGTGACAACGCTTGCTAGTTGGGGAACTGTGGGCAAGAAAGCGAGATATAAATCACAAATGATAAAACAGTTACAGCAAAGACTATTCACCAGTTCCGCGAGTAAGATCTCATTAACTGCATATGGCACCACTTTTCTAATATTTCTTCTTGTTTTTGAAACCTTTAACTTAAAAATTTGTTGCCGAACAAGGTGTAATGGGGCACCCGATGAGAACCAGCTCTTAGTTAAACAAACACAGAGAGTAAATGCATGTTATTTCTACATCAAAGGCGATGAAGCCCATTTTACATATAAAGATGTCCGTGAAAATACAGGGTAGATAATCAGAGCAACATGCATTAGCATAAGTTGCTCTCTCTCTCACCGTCACATTTTGTTCAGTTTACTATCGGAAATGCTAACCAAACTGTTCTTCTTCAGGACCGACAAATGATACTTGTCTTCTGTAGTCGAGGGCGGATCATCGACCTAGTCGAGTGCCCATGCAGCTATGGGCACAGTGCATTTGCTAAGGCCAATTTCTGAAGAGCGAATAATTGCGCAGATTTGGGATTTTTTAACTTGTTCACCGCTGTCGCTCGATTTTACAGCAGCCGACTTTTGTTACGAAGACCATTTGAGGCTTGGGTGTAGGTTAGTAAACCAGGGCGTACCAAGCCACACAGGAACAACAAGCGGTAAGAAATGCGTGGCATTAAGCTAGCATACTAAGAACCGTTAGGGGAAATGCCATAAACAGGGCGTGTGCACTCTTGCAATGCGGAACATGGAGGTACTTTGTGTACCAACCTTTTACTAACATAAACATATTCCTCTTCAGTAGCTTATATTATAAAATGTATGCGCACATAATTAATGGACAGAAAACTAATGTTACACCATACAGCCTCCGTGATTTTGAAGAATTAATAAAGAAGGGGTCAATAAAGCAGCACTCTCACCCCTTTTCATCAGCTATAAACGTGGCGTAGTTCAATTTCCCCAGCGGTAAGTACTCACGAGGATAAGAGGAGGTCATATCACTGCAGTAGATCTGAAGGAAAATAAAAACGTTATAAGGAATACGATTAGTCAGTCTGTTCCCTGTTAGCCCACTATCCACTGGGATGATCTGATGACTCAATCCTGACAGTCCAACTCAATCAGGCAAGTAATTGATATGTTAAAAGATTATGCCTCGTGTTCCCGTCGCTCTCAAATATTGTGGTATATGAAAGGAATTTTATAAGACTATAAACATAATTTGAGTTTACCATTAAATTAAAAAAGTGCACACACGAACAAGACAGCATGACGGGCAGGGAGATGCCCAGTGGTCCGCATTGGACTATATTCCGGTACATCCCCTAATAATCAGACTAATGAGGGACGAAGTACATTAAAATGAAACCATATAGTCAATAGCACTGGATAGGGTATTCACCTGGAGAAGTACACATAAAATTAGGAGACATTTAGTGCACCTCTGCTTTACAAAATGTCTGCTTGCTTCACAAGCATGTCACACAAAAGCGATGATGGTTTGGATGGCTTTTCAATTTGGAGGGTAGCCACTCTGACTATTAAGAGCAAGGTGTTCATCAACCTCGTGAAAGATGTCTTCGTCGTTTATAAGAGCAGACATAGACGCAGAAAGGACAC